AAAAAAAACAACTGAAAAGAAAGTTGTCTAAAAGCCACCATGGTCTTGGGGATCTCACCAGTCTCTGTCAGATCAGTAAGCTTGGCTCTTTTAAAAGTATTCTGATCTTTGTTCCACTATTTCTTACTTACTGCCAAGACGTTCTCCTGTGGTCTCTTTCAGAATGGTCGGTAGTGGTAGTGGGGCACCATCTAGTTGCTTTGGTCTCAGTTATGGAGGCTAAGATTCCTGTGAGATTGATTTTATTTTATCAAGAGAGCAGGGAAGGAGGAAGGCAAGAGAGTCTTCTCTCATGAGTCAAATGTTGTTGTTAGAAGCCCTCAAGCTGGCATGACCCTGTCATTTCCTAATGGTTCTCCACTTCCTCCTCTTCAAAAGGAACGCCCATTGGTAAGACGGGCAGGAGGCAACAGAACGATGAGAAAGCACTATTTCATCAGACGGAATTTCCCCTCTCTCATTCCCACAATCTCTGGCAGCAAGGAGTGAGCTCATCTGCCCTGTCTCTCTGCCTTCCAATGATCAGATGGTGGGCACCCTGGAATCCCTCCTTGTCCACACCATCTATTATACATCTATCTCCTAGTCTCCAGCTCCTCCTCTCTTGATCCATGCTCTAAACTCTGGTAGAGATGGCCGAATGTGTCCTCCGTCTCCTGGCCACCTACTTGGAGGAACTCGAGGCTCTGGACCTGAAGAAGTTCAAGCTATACTTGGGGACTTCAGCAGAGGTGGGGAAAGACAAGATCCCGTGGGGACGGATGGAGAAAGCGGGGCCCCTGGAAATGGCCCAGCTCCTTGTGGCCCATCATGGGTCCAGAGAGGCCTGGCAGCTGGCTCTGAGCATCTTTAACTGGATCAACCGAAAGGACCTGTGGGAAAAAGGACAGAAAGAAGATCTGGTGAGGGGTAAGGCTGGGGGAGGGATGGGCAAGGCCAGCGTCCACTAATCCCTTTCTCCTTCTTAGCAATTCCTATACCCAGGAGACCTGGAATTCTCATGTCACCCTTTTGCTGTTTGATTATGCTGGTCTTCCACTCTGAATCTTCTTCTTTTGCTTTTCTTGCTTGCTTTTTGCGATTTTAAATTTGACTGCAAATGTCTAAGTCATATTTCTTTTTCATTCATTCATACAGATTTTGTTTCACATTCTAACGGTCCATGCAGTTCATGAACTACAGTGTCTCAGAACCTCCTTATTATTATACACTTCCTTTCCTTCCCTCCAACTTACTTATGTAATAAGTGTTACTCACCTCTTCCTCCCTTCCCCTCCTCCGTAACAATCCAAATGCCTTTCTTTGCTCACTTTTCTCTCTTTTTTGACTTTTTTACTGTGCCCTGGGTGAATGAATGTTGGTTTTCTGTGCAACGATTCAACGGCATTTGGTTGTCAGATTGTAACACTACGTTCCCCCTTCCTCTCCATGTTCCCTGTTTCCTGTTCATCAGGTGATGAGTGCAGTTTTTGACAGAGAATGTGAGGTAACTGGAGGGGAAAAAAAAAACAAAAAACCACAACCAAAAACAAAAAACGGCAGTGGTTTTTCAGCTGGGTGTTATCCTGTAGTCATTTTGATTAAATACATGATTATTGGGTGCTAGAGTGGCTCCTTGGAGGCAAGGATTCTGAGGCTTTGTCTGACATACTTTGGACATGTTGTAAGGAGGGACCTGTCCTTGGAGAGGGACGTCATGCTTGGGATGGTGGAGGGACAGCGCAGGAGAGGAAGACCCTCTCTGAGGTGGATTGATTCAGTGACTAGGGTAATCGCAATGGGTGTATCGGAGACAGTGTGATTGGCACAGAACAGAGCAGGGTTTAGGGCTGTTGTACATAGGGTCGCTATGAGTTGCAGGCGACCTGACGGCACATAACAACAACAAGAAGTCAAAATTTAGAGCACTAGGGGGAGTTCTGGTGGCCTAGTGGCAAGGACCTGCAACTACAATCCCAAAGGCGCACGGTTCGAATCCACCAGATGCTCTGCCGGGGAAGGAGGGACAATTTCCTCCTGTACCAGTCAGATCTGATTTGATGGTACACACACACACACACACACATAATAAAAATTAAAAAAAAAAATTTAAAATTTAGAGCAGTAGCTGCAGGAGAAAAATAAGAGCCCAGTCTCTATTGCCTCAGGAAGAAAGGCTTTGTCTCCTCTCCACATCTGTGGGCACAAAGTCCTTTGTAGTGCCCATCAACAAATTAATAGATAGGGGGGAAAAGTACGGTATATTCTCACAATGAAATACTATGCAGCACTGAAAAACAAGGAACTTGTAAAACTTTACACAACACGGGTAACCCTGGAGGACATTAGGCTGAGTGAAAGATCTCAGTCACAAAAGGACAAATACTGTTTAGTGCCATTGTTGTCAAATGGGAATGACATCAGGGTTGGGGGGGGAACCTAAGAAAAGAGAGAAAAAATTAATGTATACTGCTTTGAAACAGATGAGGGAGAGAACCGTTTACAAGGGATATAGGACTGGGGAGTTCTGGTGGCCTAGTGGCAAGGAGCTGCAACTACAATCCCAGAGGCGCGTGGTTCGAATCCACCAGAAACTCTGCCGGGGAAGGAGGGACAATCTCCTCCTGTACCAGTCAGATCTGATTTGACGGTACACTCACACAAAAATAATAATTTTTTTTAAAAAGGGATATAGGATTAAGTTATTATTATCATGACAGTCGTCCAGAACGAAGGCTGCACAGTGGAGTGGACTTGGGGGGAGGGATTGTATACCAATAAAAGAATTTACTTTTCAAAGAGAAGAGTGAATTGGGGGAAGGAGTGGGCAGGGAGTAAAGTGTAACAATGAATGAATGGAAAACCAAAGTCTCTGCAAACTTTCATTAAAACTAAGTTTTTTAAAAAGAGTGGGGAAAGAGGTTTCAGATCATACGTTTAAATCCTATCAGGACTGTGACTTAGGATTTTATATCCCACCCTAATCCCCTGATTTTTTTATTTGCCAAAAGAACAAACAACTATGTCTTGGAGAAAGTGCAGCCAGAGTGTTCCTTAGAGACAAAGATGATAAAGTTTCAACTCACACACTCCAGGCATGTTGCTAAGAGAGGCTATTCCTTGGAGAGGGGCATCGTGCTTGGAGTGGTGGAAGGTCAGAGCAAAAGAGCAAGATCTTCAACTCAGCGGACGGACACAGTGACTGTTGAAATGGGCTGTAGTGTGTCAGGCGGTGTGAGGATGGCACAGGATAGAACAGGTTTCATCTGTTGTTCATACAATGCTACGGGTCATGCTCACCATCCTTTGAGATCAGATCAGGGCTGTAAACGTCAGATCACATCACAGAGGGCAGTTTTACCATCCCATGATTCCCAAACCACTGAGATACATAACCTAGCCAGGTTGGCACAGAGTTTGGGGAACAGAATTCAACCTGTGACATTTATTTTACACAATTATCTATTCTAGATTTTCCACCTTGCCCCCTGTCCTTCCTGGGGAGACAATCAAGATGTGTTGTGGAAGCGTCTCCTAATAACCCAAGAAGAGGTGAGTTATGAGGTATTTCGATGATCTCATACATTAGGCAGCAAATGACAGACCAGCCAAATGACAGTAGACTGAGCACCAAGACCATTTGTGTAATGTTTGCGAGTATGCTTTTGAAAGAAGTATCTGCATGGGATCAGAGTGTCAATGGCACTTTGAAAGATTATTGGGCACTTGAGGGGGACAATGAGTTTATGACGACGGGGAGGAACGGCTCAGAGAAGGGGGATGAGAATGGTCACACATCTGGAAGAATGTAACCATTATCACTCATCAACATACAGAAATAGTTACATTGATGTCAACTTCGCTGTGAGTCGTCTCAACAACAAAACATGACATGTGATAAAAAAAATCCAAAGGGATAAGGGATGCAATTCCCTTTAGTTCTGATTTTGTATCACCTCATTCTTAGGCTGTACGCATAGTTTCCTGTTCACTGTTACAGCTGCGGCCGTTAATTCCACTAGATGGCGGTCGAACCTTCCTGTTGTGACAGGCAACCCGTATTTCCAAGCTCTGCCAAGAATCTCCCAGTGGAGAGCCAGCCAGCTGGTTGACATTGAGTAGATGCCAAGTCATTTCAGCCCAATGTGTGTCAGGGTAGACGTATACACCTGTGGTTCTCAAGAAAGCAGAGCTGATAGAGTGAATTCACTCGTGATAGCAAACTCTGGTGTAGTACCTACTTGTTCTGCAGTACCTGTTGCACATGGGTGTACTACGGCTTTCAAACACTCCCTGGGTGATGGAAATGGTGTTCCCTAACTCCTCTACAAACTCCATGGGAGAAAGACCTGGAAATTTTCTTACAGTCCAGAAAATCTTACAGGCAGTTCTACTCTTGTCATATGCGGTGTATGGAGCTACTGTGAATTGGAATATACTCCTGGAAACCTAGTAACAACAAATTTAGTCATCTAAGGTGTAACAGAGGAGCCATGCTAGTCTGGTGGGTAAGGAGTTGCTCTACCAAGCCAAAGGCAGGTGGTTCGAATCCACCAGTTACTCCATGGCACAAAGAGGGGCATTCTTCTCCCGTGTCGTGCCGTAGCCTCTGAACACATACTCACGAGTCAGCGCCAGCTAATAGCAATGTTTAAAAAATAGAATTCGTTCGAGTTTCCTGACACATCTTCCCTGGATTCTTCATTCCTTTCCATTAGATCCTGCGGAAGCCTACCGTGACAACATCCGGAGGAAATTCCGGCTCATGGAAGACCGCAACGCACGCCTGGGAGAGTGTGTCAACCTCAGCCATCGGTACACTCGGCTCCTCCTGGTGAAGGAACACTCAAACTCCACATGGGCCAAGCAGAAACTTTTGGCCACGGGCCAGGGCCACACCAGAACCGTGGACCACCTGGCCAGTCCCATCCAGATAGAGACCCTCTTTGAACCAGACGAGGAGAGACCTGAGCCCCCTCATACTGTGGTCCTGCAAGGGGCAGCAGGGATGGGCAAGTCCATACTAGCTCACAAGGTCATGCTAGACTGGGCTGATGGGACGCTGTTTCAGGGCAGGTTTGATTTCCTCTTCTACATCAACTGCAGGGAGATGAATCAAAAGGCTGAGCGAAGCTTGCACGACCTTATCTCCAGCTGCTGGCCGGAGCAGAGCGTACCTCTTCTGGAACTTGTCCGAGTTCCTGAGCGCCTCCTTTTCATCATCGATGGCTTTGATGAGCTCAAGCCTTCTTTCCATCATCCTCAGGGCCCCTGGTGCTTCCCCTGGCAGGAGAAACAGCCCACGGAACTCCTCCTGACCAGCCTTATCAGAAAGAAGCTACTGCCTGAGTCCTCTCTGCTCATCACCACCCGACCCACAGCTTTGGAGAAGCTCCATCGTCTGCTTGAACATCCGCGGCATGTGGAGATCCTGGGCTTCTCCGAGGCAGAGAGGAAGGAGTACTTCTACAAGTATTTCCATAGCATGGAACAAGCCAACCAAGTCTTGAACTTTGTGAGAGACAATGAGCCCCTCTTCACCATGTGCTTTGTCCCCATGGTGTGTTGGGTAGTTTGCACCTGCCTCAAGCAGCAGCTAGAGGATGGAGGCCTTGTAAGACAGACCTCCAGGACCACTACAGCTCTGTACACACTCTACCTTCTGAGTCTGATGCAACCCAAGCCAGGGACCCCGACCCACCAAGCCCCACCCCACCAGAAAGGACTGTGCTCTTTGGCAGCTGATGGTCTCTGGAGCCAGAAGGTCCTGTTTGAGAAACAAGATCTCCAGAAACACGGACTGGATGGGATGGATGTCTCTGCCTTTCTCAACATGAACATCTTCCAGAAGGACATCAACTACGAGAAGTTCTACAGCTTCATCCACCTGAGTTTCCAGGAATTCTTTGCTGCCATGTATTATATCCTGGACAGTGAAGACAGCGTGTTGGGGCCAGAGCAGGATGTGAGTACCCTGTTGGTTGAGTACGGGTCATCAGACAGGAGCTTCTTGGCACCCACTGTCCGCTTCATCTTTGGACTCTTGAATGAAGAAACAAGAAGCTACTTTGAGAAGAATCTTTGTTGGAAGGTCTCGCCTCAAGTCAAGATGGAACTCTTGAAGTGGATTCACAGCAAAGCTCAGAGTGAGGGGTCCACGCTGCAGCAAGGCTCTCTGGAGCTCTTAAGCTGTCTGTATGAGATCCAAGAGGAGACATTTATCCAACAGGCCCTGAGCCCCTTCCAGATGGTCGTGGTCAGTAAAATCACCACCAAGATGGAGCATATTGTCTCATCATTTTGCATGAAGAGCTGCAAGAGTGTCCTGGTGGTGCACTTGTATGGGGTATCCTTCAGTGAAGACGAAGACGATGGAGTGAGAGGGACCTCAGGGTTCCAGCCACCACTGGCACAGTTGTAAGTACTTCCTGGGTTTCAAGTTCAAGCTCTTAACTGGTGGTTCTCAACCTTGGGTGATTTTTTTGCCCTGTAGAGGATGTTGGCAATGTTTGGAGACATTTTTGGTTGTCCTAACTGGGAGAAAGAATGCGACGGACATGAAGTCAAGGCCAGAGATGCTACGTAGTGTCCTATAGTGCATAAAACAGATCCCCATCACAAAGGTGACCTGGTCCCCAGATGTCCACAGTGCCTCAGTTGAGAGTTGAGAGAATAATCTTTGAGATTAAATCTGTCCTCATTTCTGAAGGGGATTTTATGCAATTAACATTTATTATTAAGAGCTGAGAAGGATCCCTGGTGGAATATGATTTACAGGTTAAACTGCCAACAGGCTGATGGTTTAAATCTACCAGCTGCTCCACAGGAGAAAGATGGGAGTCTCCTCTCATAAGGACTTACAGCCTCAAACCTGATAGAACATGTGTTGGAGCAGATTCGATGGTAATTAGTTTGGTGGCATTTTTTTTTTGGAGGAGAGTTATATGTACATGTTGTTGTTGTTATGTGCCGTCGAGTCGTTTGTGACTCATAGCGACTCTATGCACAACAGCCCTAAACCCTGCTCTATCCTGTGCCAACCGCACTGCCTCTGACACACCCATCCCGATTACCCCAGTCACCGAATCAATCCATCTCATAGAGGGCCTTCCCCTCCTACGCTATCCCTCCACCCTCCCAAGCATGATGTCCCTCTCCAAGGACCCATCCCTTTTGGCAACATGTCCAAAGTATGTCAGACGAAGCCCCAGAATCCTTGCCTCCAAGGAGTAGCTTGGTTTAATCCTCTCCAAGATGAATCTGTTTGTTTTCCTGGCAGTCCATGGTACATTCAGTACTCTTCTCCAGCACCACAGCTCAAAGGCATCCACTCTCCTTCTGTCCTCCCTAGTCACTGTCCAACTCTCTGATGCATAACAAGCAATTGCAAAGACCATGGCCTGCATCAGGCGCACCTTAGTCTCCAGAGAGACACCGTTGCTCCTGAGTACATGAGAGAGGTCCCAGCAGCAGACTTTCCCATCGCGATACGCTTTTTGATTTCCTCACTGTACATAGACTTAGTAATATTTGTGGGTTGAATAAGTTTCCCCTTGAAATGGGTACAAGAGTAACTGGAAGAATGGCTCTGGTGGCACGATGGGTTGAACACTGGGATGTCAACCAAAAGGTTGGCAGTTCAAATCTGCCAGCTACTCCGAGGAAGAACAGTGTGGCAGCCTGTTTCTGTAAATACATGCAGCCTTGGAGAGCTCACGACAGTTCTACTCCGTCCTCTTGTTGTAAGAAGGAAATAATTCCGTATTTTTTTTACAAGGCTTTTGACCCAAGTAGAAAAAAATCAGCTGTGTTCTGCTCAAAGATGGTAGCCAACCACCTTACCTTGAACGTGTGTCACTCTCAAGGGTCCGGCCAAAAATGCAATCTCCCACATCAATCTCCTGAAACTCTCAAGAGGTGGGATTTTAGGAGGGCAACATTAATACTGCAAGTCTTGTCAGTAAATAAATGTACATACAGCATTTTACTACATTAAATGTTATTGCTGATGATACATTAAACTTAGGAGTAAGGAAAATAGCGACCCAGGGTGATGCCCTGATCCTCACTGCTAATGTGAGAAGACTTTTTGATCTGGTAAAGGTTGCCCCTATGGTTATCTCTGTACTTTGTGAGATGCCTTTGTGTCGCAATCTGCCCAACTTTTATTCCCAAAAATTAGATGGGTAACAACCTTAGAAAATTAAAACTTAGAGAAAAAAATTATCACTGATGGGTCTTTAGAATAACCGGTTCTCATGTCCATAGATGGAAAACCCGTAAATCTTAGTCATTGGCCTATTGAGCAATTACATTTTCAGAGACATATAGTGTCTAATGAGCAGAAGGAAAACAGACAGATTCGTCCCGGAAAGGGTTAAACCGGGTGGCTCCTTGGAGGCAAGGATTCTGAGGCTCCGTCTAACATACTTTGGACATGTTGTGAGGAGAGACTGGTCCTTGGAGAGGGACATCATGCTTGGGAGGGTGGAGGGACGGCGCAGGAGAGGAAGGCCCTCTATGAGGTGGATTGATTCAGTGACTGGGATAATTGGGATGGGTGTGTCAGAGGCAGTGCGATTGGCACAGGACAGAGCGGAGTTTAGGGCTGTTGTACATAGGGTCGCTGTGAGTCGCAAGCGACTCGACGGCACATAACAACAACAATGAACAAAAAAATGGGACATGGGGGCACAGAGCCATGAGTGTCTCTCTGAGAGGGCCAGAGGGAGTGAGATTAGCACAGTCCCTCACCAGATAGCAGATAAAGATCACATAGCCCAGGCCCATGGTGTCTCCAGAAACACAATAGCAGCAAGAGGTTCATTTATTCATTGTTTACTCACAGACTTTGGTACTGAGAATGGGGTCCACTAGGTAAGTAAGTTGGAGAATGGGGAAGGCAAAGAATATCACCCAATGAAAATCTAGGTTTTAGCCCAGAAGTCCCAAGGTATCATTTCTCAGTTCATCCAGCCTCTGGTGTCAGTTCAGCTGCACAAATTCAAGAAGCCTCTGGTTTCCTCAGTCATCCAGTAAGGTTTGCCTCAGAGTAATTATAAGTCAACTTCTCTTTCAAATGTCCAGCAAGAATAGCAAAATCTTTAACAGAGGTCAGCACAAATGGAAGAAGCCTCAGGTCACACCTTGTCACAGTTTCAACACCACAGTCTCTCTACCACCATCACCAGGGTCTCACCACCAAGGTCTCCCTCAAGCCATGACAGCTGAGAGTCTAGCTCTTCAATGTGGGAAGCACTGTTTCTCTTATCCTAGTCCCACAGCTGTTGATGATTTGTAAGGCCATGTGTCTGCAGTTACCTGGACACCAGAGGGCGCTAAAGTAATGGCTTTTATAAAAAAGCCAACACTGTGGATAGCATCAGAAATTTTTGGGTATCCTTGATTTTTAATTTGTTTAACACCAACAGATCTTTATGTTCAAAGTTGTTTCCTTCAAGAATTAATTCATCTTTCTGGGCGTGTGATGTTGAAGAAGCAATACCTAGAGTCATCTGATCCCTATGGATGCATTTCTCACCTGTTGTTGTTGTTCTTATGTGCCATCGAGTCACTTGTGACTCATAGCAACCCCATGTACAACAGCTCTAAACCCTGCTCTATCCTGTGCCAATCTCACCACCTCTGACACATCCATCCTGACTACCCCAGTCACTGAATCAATCCACCTCATAGAGGGTCTTTCCCTCCTGCGCCGTCCCTCCACCCTCCCATGCATGATGTCCCTCTCCAAGGCCCGGTCTCTTCTTACAACATGTCCAAAGTATGTTAGACGGAGCCTCAGAATCCTTGCCTCCAAGGAGCCACCCGGTTTAACCCTTTCCAGGATGAATCTGTTTGTTTTC